AACCAGCTTGAGCCAAACCTTCTGATGTTGGAGCTGTTATCAAGGTGAGGCAAAGCTTTGTGACCTTGAGCAGTCACTGTCTGGAAACTCAGAGGAAATTAACCATCAAACAACATTGAATTTTTTGAGATAATTCTCAGCCCTCAATGCTGTCCCTTACCAGAGGCAAAATGAGTTCTGGAATGAATAGATCTAATAAAAAAATGAAAGCTGTAAGAGTCATCAGGTTTAGATTGTGACATTCCCTATACCCAGAGCTGCTGAAATCAGAGTAGTAACTTGTATTTTTAATTAGTACAAGCATCCAAGGAGGCCAACGGCAGGTTCTCATAGTGCCACTCCTTTCTGTTAAATAATCACCTCAGACTGTCTTTTTGGAGCAGAACAGGGATGTGATGGAAAGCCCCTGCATACAGACATGGCACTGTGGAATGAGGCCACAGGCTCTGAAGGTGTCTGCAAGGACTCAGGAGGTTCTGCAATAAGTTGAGCTGCTGCATCACATCCATCCTGCTCCACTTTTCAATGGCACCTTGTGTTTGTGCAAGGCACTGACTGGTCTTCTGCTGAGCAGGGGATCCTAGAAGCGTTTAGGTTGGAAAAGAGCTTTAAGATCATCAAGTCCCCACTCTAAACCTAACACAATTAGTTTGGGCCTTAGTTTTCCTACTTCAAGAACCGTGCAAGTAATTCAGATATCTTGTTTAATCACAGAATCTCAGAATGGTTTGGGTTGGAAGGACCTTTAAGGTCATCCAGTTCCACCCCCTGCCATGTGCAGGGACACCTTCCACTAGTCCAGGTTGCTCCAAGCCCCATCCAACCTGGCCTGGAACACTTCCAGGGATGGAGCAGCCACAGGTTCTTTGGGCAACTTGTGCCAGTGCCTCAGCACCCTCACAGCCAAGAATTTCTTCCATAATATGATAGAACATAGACTTTTTTGGAGAATACAGTAGGAAAAAAATGAATTCCCAAGCTTTAGAGGTATTCCAAGTTTTGCTGCTGCCTCAGACTTAGAGCTGAGGCAGCTAAAGATCTGCTAACTCCTCTCAGAAATATGTCTGGCAGTAATAAGGTAAGAGTAGGTAAGACTGAAGTATTTCTCCACAACCATTGAACTCAAATTGCTCTGCAGGATAGTGTGTCCTGCTCTGGATAGCACACAAGTCTTAATGTCTTTCTCTAGAAGGCTGAACTTCTCAGGAATATCCAGGATCTTTTGAGAAGGACTGTGCTTCAAGCTACTAACCAGATAAGGTAAGACCTTTTGCATGATACCTTAGTAGCTGATTTCTGTAGCCAAATAATTCCTTGTGTACAGGGACACAATGCCAAGTGGGTAAAGATGTCACCAATGCCAGGCTATGGGCTATGAGAATCCCATTTAAACCTGGAAAGTAGTGCTAGGGATGGAACTTCAGGATTTACAAGCAGAATAAGGTAAATTTAGATTTTCAGACCTGGTTTCCAGGCTATGCATTAGATTTGTTTTCCAACTCTAAACTTCAGTGCAATAAAAGCATTATCTGGATATCATTCTACCTTCTTGCACCTTGTGCTTTATTTGTATTATTGGCTGGTTTAAAGTAATTTTTTGGGGGATCAAAGCACCTTTTCAAGAGGAGGTTTTTTTGCCACCAGATGTCAGTATGAATTTGAAATAGGAAGCTTCACTCTCCCTTCTGTCCCAGGATGGATTTCATTGCATTTCCAAAGGACTGTTTGCTTGGAATTTATATCTAGTCCTTTAGGAAAGATTTTATCCATACCCTTAAGTGCATCAGTATGAAGGAATTAACTGCTGGAAACCATGATAGTTCAGGTTTTAAATTGAATGAATCTGCTCCTATTCTCCCAGATAAAATGGAATATTGTTTTTAGGAAGAATGGCTGGAAATGCAAAGTTCTTGAAAGCAGCTCTGGTACATCAATCAGAGCATAAGAGGAGCCTGTTGAGTTTAGGTTTTGCTTTCTATAATTGCTTTCAGATCATTTTAGTCCCATTTAGTATTATTTTAGTATCATTTGCTATAAGAGTCTTTTTGATTCCTTGTGTGAGAGTGACATCTGGTGTTCCCAGCCAAGAGCGACCCACAGGCTTTTGTTATTGAAATAATTTTAATTAATTGGGTGATTTATGACTCTGCCAACAAAGCAGCAGTTTTCATCTGAATATCACTGGATTTGTATCTTCCAAGGACAAATTGCACTATCTGCATGCCACAGTCTTTGAAAGGACAGACAGGAGGACCTGGAGAATCATATGGGCTTAAATTTAAGGATATGGTCAATCTATTAGTGAAAGAGGAGGATGGTTCTTCCACGAGCACTACCTTGTCATGGAAATAGTGTTCTGTTGGGCAAACCTCCTACCTGTTCTCCCATAATAATGTAGCTGTTACCACTAGAGAAAAATCCCCCTGTGATATAGGATTAGTTTGTAAAATGCCAAGTCCAACCACTCCTTTGTCTCAGGTTATAAGAGCTCTAAGCCTTCAGGAGGCACAGAGCAGTACTAAAGGTCTAGGGACAGTGGTTAACATGGTAAAAAATCCCAGTCACACAGAAGAATTCCCATCACTGTCATTAAGTAGCAGTACTGAGAACTCTTAGCACAGATATCCTGTTGTCTGGAATGACTCAAATGTCATGACATAAACACTTTACTACTTACTTACTCAACTTCTGGTTTTCATAGAATTCTAAAATGGTTTGGGTTGGAAGGGACCTTAAAGACCATCTAGTTCCAACCCACTGTCATGGGCAGGGATGCTTTCCACTAGCCCAGGCTGCTCCAAGACTGGTCCAACCTGACCTGGAACACTTCCAGGGATGGGGCAGCCGCAGCTTCTCTGGGCAACTTGTGCCAATGCCTCACCAGCTTTATAGAAAATAATTTCTTTTTGATATCTAATCTAAATCAACCCTTCTGTCCTTTAGGAGGTGGTTATGGGAGAGAGAGTTTGGTTATGATTTTCAGGACAAAATGAAAAGTTTCTGTTCTCATTGCCCTGAAAAAGACAAAGGCCTAGAGCTGAGCTTCATCAGTTTGTGCTTCCCCAGTGTATGTGGTGAGTTATGGTTTGTATTGTTTTCCACGACCAATGTGTGACTTCAACTTTTCAGATTAAATTGAATTCAGAAATACATTTGTGAGTTTGACTGGTGAGACAAAGTTGACACAGGATTTTCTGTCTCTTCCCTTTCCTTCAGGATTCCATGCATTTTTCAAGCTGATCTGCAGCTCTCAGTCTCATTGAAAATAACTTGGATTTTTCTTGGATAATTTGCAGTTCACATTTACAATTAAGAACACTTCCTCGAGGTGGGATGTGTTGTGAGACATGGAAGAAGTGTTGAACAGGCTGCAGAGGATTTTCCACTGCTTTTTAGACCAAAGATGTGATTCTCAGTGTAACAGTAAAAATAAAGAGGTTAAAACCACTTTAGCACTTCTATTTCTCCTAAATTCTACTCAAATAAGAGGTCAAAACTCTAACTGCTTCACCAGGACCAGGATCAGATGTTCATACAGCCATGGGGACAATGTGTACCCTGTTTTAAACAGTCCTTTTTCTTGGATGCCCTCTTCAGATCCTTAAGGACATTGGAGATGAAGAAGCCAACGTTGTTGCTCTCAAACAAGCCATCAGAGACAAAGAAACCCACATGAAGGTTGTGCAAACAAGGCTCTATGACAGGTCTTTCAGGCCCAACATAGAGCTGTGCAGAGATGAAGCAGAATTCAGGTAATACTATTAAACAAGTCTCCAAGGTGCCTGTTCTATCCCAAAGTGATCTTAGACAGTGTTGGCACTTTTTATTGCTAATACACAGCTTTTAGCTTGTATTACTCAGTTTGACTCTGGTAGAAATCAGAAATAACTCAACTGACTGAAATCACTGGGAGGAAAATAGTGTTTAATTCTAATGTGTCACCAGATAGAAAACCTGTAGACTCAACTCTGCCTGTAGGCCCCACACTTTATTTTCTGAACTTTGTGATTTCTTTTGGATTTAGATGATCCAAAAAAAATCTGGCAGTGTGTGGATCACATACTACCCAAAATCGACCACGAGGTGGACTCTCTGTGAGGGAATGTGAATTGAATTTCAGCACAGAGCTGGTGGTGCTTGATTTGCAGTAATAATCTGGTTTAAAAGGGCCACAAATCCTTTCAAATTCAAGGTCTGAGTGTCACATTTTGATCTCCTTAGAAGCTTTGTAATTGTTTCTCCTCCTTCCCATTTTCCTGCCTTTAGGAAAAGTGAGGAATGAGCTTTTGTAGGCTTACAGAATCCTTGCAGCAAAGGTGCCTAAGAGTTCTACTGTTCTACACAGAGTGAGGAAGAAGTTCTGCTTAATCCAGATAATTTATTCCATTTCATTTAAGGTCCTAATCCAGCAAGCCATCCCTGTCCAAGTTTTTCAGCCGTCCCTTCCCTTTCAAGGGATTTAAGGACACTGGAAGTCCTTTGCTGAATGGACACATTTGACTGCCAGGCTTAGGCTGTTCGTAGTTATTCCATTGGCACAGCACACAGGGATCTTCTTTTCCCAGGAAGTAAATATTTGCCTTCTCCCCAGGCAGATTGCAGCAAGGCACCTCAGCCCCTCTGGATTTTAGTTGAAATTCTGTGCTGCTTTAGGGGTTATTTGCTGATTTATTAAAATGATTTGTTGCTGCTGCTTTCAAAGCTGAAATGCTTTTAGAGTAAAGACTTGTCTGATCTCTTCAGTTTTACACCAAAGAACAGAGATCAAAAAACAAGCTTAGCAAAATGCTGATCCAGTCAAACTGGACGAGTTATCTAACAATTTTTGTCCTTTAATTCCTAGTACAAGTGTCCTGTGCAGTGGGAGAAGGTGAGGATGGATATTTCCACTGTGCTTAGCAGCAAAAGACAATCTTGGTAATACCTAAATCATGGGACATTTGTGTACAGAGCTGTGAAAGTGAACTCTGCTTTTCTTGGACCTCTGTGAGGTCCTTTGGTGGTGACTATTATGATTCTATAGCTGTTGACCACTATTCCCACTACAGTTCATGTCTTTTGGAGCACCAACTCTCTCCTGCTCTTTTTCTTAATACTTCGTCTAATTCTCTTCAGGTTGGTCAGTGAAGTTGATGAGCTAACAGTGTCCACTGAAGCCCTGAAGAAAAAAAAGATGGAATCTGAACAAACTCTGAAGAACCTGGAGGAGACAAGGATGAACTTGGAGAAAGAAATAGCTGTGAAAGCCACCAGTATTTTTATTGATAGGCAGAAGTGCATGGCCCAATGCATACAACACCCTGTTGACCTTAAGTTAGCAAGTTACAATCAGTAATTTCTCTACTAACTATGCAAAGTCTGGGAGAAAATAGAGTCTAGAATCTTTCCTATAAAATAAATGGGTAATATTACGTACAGAAGTGCTGTATTCACTGTTTTCTACTTGGGTTAAAATGCATTGATGTAGTGTCACAGTGGGTTTGGGTCTTCCTTTTAACACTTGTATAAAACCTACAAAATATAGTGAATTTAAACCAGCTTCAAGGTAACTCATCACCTCTAGAATTTATCTATATCATATGTACATATTATGTGATATTTGGGGGGTTCACCCTCATAATTCAATATGCTGAGTGAATATTTCTGGTGAATGCTAACAATACACTGGTGTAGATAGAATATTTATAACTGCCAGCTTGAAATGAGAGCAATAAAACTGAAGATCCCCTGATCAGCCAGGAAACAGTTGACAGACTTTAAGCTGCTCAAACATAAGTAATAAAAACCCCAAAGTTTGCACAGGTTAGAGGCAAATCTGCCTATTGACAAATCCACTCCCAGTCTGACATCTGTGAGTCTGACACGAGGCCAAAGAGTTTTAACCTCCAAGTCAGTAAATTGAGTTTTTTCAGGGAAAAAAAACCCCGAAGCAGCTTGTGAATAGCAATCCTGACTTTCAGCTTCAGCACTTGGATGTTGAATTTTACTCTTGATGTGTTCCAGCTATTCCCTGGAAGCAAAGCATGTGGTTGAGCTATTACCCATAATGGAGAACACATCAGCTTCATCTACCCCAGCAGAGCAATGAAGCAAATGTCATTCAGCCATTAGCTTACTAGGCCACTTGGTTAAATATGTGACACGTCAAAAAAAAGGGAGAAGATGACACAGAACAGAATTCCATTATGCTTTCCTGTATTACAGGTATTTTACTTTGAAAAAGCAGCTGATCGAAGAGAGGCAAAAACCTTCAGAAGCAAAACACGCACAAAAACCCCTGGCCAGGTCCATTTGTGCACAGCTCTGCTCTGCTAGGCAGAGAGGAGAGGCCATTAGCTGATCTGTTTTGCTCCCAGACAGCTATTTGTGTTATCTGAACTCAGGATGTGCAGAGCACTATGAGCAATTGCCTTGCTAAAAGCTGCTCCCATTCCTTTGAAAACCAGCTGTGTCACTGAGGGCTGTTGACCCACACCTCTGTGTCACAGGCTTTGTGCTCAAGAGTTTTGGGGTTTATTTTTTTAAAATGCATTTCCTCTTCATGATTATATTTTGATTGGCCAAATGTTGGATCTTTATTAGAGATAAATCACAGAATCATAGAATCCCAGAATGGTTTGGGTTAGAAGGGACCTTAAAGCTCATCCAGTTCCAACCCTGCCATGGGCAGGGACACCTTCAGCTAAACCAGGTTGCACAGAGCCTGGACTTAAACACTTTGAGGAAATCCACAACTCCTCTGGGCAAACTGTCCTCAGTTTCTGGTAGGGCACATCTGGTGGAGGCAGAGCCCTCAGTAGTGGTCCCCGAGGTGCCCTGGGGCGGCCCAGGAACTGTCCCAGCTGGGATGATGCTTTGCTCTGCCAGTCACACCTCTCTGTGCAGCCATGGAGGCATCCCCTGTGCTAAGAACTGCAGAGCAAGATCACACATGCAATAAATTGAAACCCAGCCAAGTCTTTGGGTGTATTTTCATTTCATCCCCTTATCCCATTCTGATAGAGTGCCTCACTCAGCTGTGGGCTTGGTGTTAAGGATTGCCTTCAGGCTTTGTAAATAGAAGATCATTTTTAGGATTGCTGCAGTGTCTGAGCTCTCCAGAGGAGAGGCTCTTCAAATCCAAATGGGTTCAAGCATGCAAGAGTTTAATGCAGGGCTGCCAGCAGCCAGCTCAGTCTGCAGAGTCCAATTCATTCTCACAAAGGTCAGTTTGGATGTAAAACTGCTCTGTGCTTTCTGTAAAAGTCTGGGACACTTTCTCTGCCTCTTCACAGGGGTCACTTGTGTGGAAACCTGGCAGCAGGTTATCATTCAAAGCCACCCAAAGGCAGCTGGCAAAAAATGAGGGAGCTGGCAGGTTTGTTGTAGTGTCTACAAGCCCAAGTAACACAGCAGACAGCTTTGTACCCTTTGAGCACAGGATTTCTTGTTTGCAGTAGGTCATACAGATCTTCAGGGCAGGAGATGGACTGAGACACCAAGGCTTAGGATATTCACAGAGAAGCTTCACAAGAGCTGCCCAAAGTACAGGAGGGACAATTTTCCCTTCCATGGGGCATTGGTGGCAGCTCAACTTGGGAATGGGCTGCAGGCAGAATGTTGAGGGGGTGAGCAACTCCCTCATCATCACAGAGCACAGACAGGGCTTGTTCTCCCAGAACAGCCTGACTCACCCCATGCCAAACAAATGTGGAAAGCTTTATATAAAATAAGTCAGCTATAAAAATTTGTGTTAAGTCCCTACCAGCTTCCACAAAGAGGAGGGCAGAGCTTTGCCTGTGCCTCTCACCTTCTGCTGAGTGATGCCAAAGCTGAGCAAGCAATCTCTTATCTTTAATGCATTTCAGGTTATTGCTTCCAGCCTCGTGCAGCTAAAATGGGAACTTGCCCAGGGTTTGTGCCCCAAAGCCTGTGCTGGGAAGGACCAAAGTTCCCCCTCCTCCTGCTCCCCATACTCTGCCCTCCTGGCTGTGACAGCACTACTTGGGCACTGCAGTTATTCCGTGCTCCAGGCAAGAATGGGTTTTGCAAGCTCTCTGTGCCTCTGGAGCTGCTGATGCCAGACTTTATCCAGCTGGATCCTTCAGTGAAATAAAGAATTAAAGGTAGGCAAATCCAAGGCTTTTCCAAGCTGAATCCTGTGACAGAGCAGGCAGCACCTGGCAAATGGAGCTGGAATTGGCTCTGCCAGTGCCATATCCTGTTCTCCCTCACACCTCAGGCCAGTCCTGGCACCCAGCAAACCTCTCCTGTCCTCACCAGCATCTCCTTTTAGGCTGAAGCCCTCTCATGGAAGTAAATTTACTGCATTTTGTAGCCTTATCTGGAGTGTCCTTCAACATGGGTTCAATCCTTGTCATGATGCACTGAAGTTCCACTAAAATTACTGGGAATTGAGAGTTTTCCTCGATTATCCCATGCAAGGGGATGAGTGGGACGTGCAGCCCAGGTGAGGTGCTCAGCTGAGAGGTGGCAGCAGGAGGAATGTCACCATCACTGCTCCTTCTGTGCAGCAACTTGGGACTATGTCAGTGTCTTTCTTCTAATGATTTCCATGCAAGGTAAAAAAAAAATCCACATACAGTGAGAAGCAGAAAAGTTTGGAAAACACCTTGTTTATCAAGGAGATTGTGTTTCCCAGGACTATTTATGACCAGTGACCAGTCTGAATGGTGTAATGTGCCGTGCCAGGATGCCTGGGGCATACCCATGGAGGCAGGGGGGCAGAGGAGTTTCATTTTAAGGGTGGTTAAACCAGGGCACTTATTTATAGCCTCATGTTCTATCATGTTGGCAATTATATTTGCTCATTACCACTGATATAACTCTTTAAATTGGCATCACACTTCTTCTTTTTGGGTGCCAGGAGGCAGCAGCCCCTGAGGGTACCTGTCTGGCTGCTTCCAGCCCAGGGACCCTGCAGAGGCACCAGCTTCTCTAATTTTGGCCTTTCCTTGGGATAACACCTGGCTAAACCCTTCTAAAATAATTTATGACTTTGAATTGCTTGGTAAAAGTTTTTCCAGAGTTTAGTTCACACCTTGTTACTTGAACCAGGCTGGGGGTGAGCCCAGGCTGAGCCACCACCTGGATTTGTCACAAGTGTCACCTCCTAACACTTGCCCATGGCTGAACTGTGGTGCTGGGGAAAGGGAAACTCCTCAAGACAACATCCCTCAGAGCCAGGAGCACCAAGCCTATGTGATGACACAAACACAGCCTCCTAATTCTCTGTTTGTGGCACAGCACAAGATGTGTGTGTTCACCAGGAGGAAAATACATCCCAGAGCTTTTTCCCTAAAACATTTCAATTAAAAGGATTTGGCCTCCCACCACTAACCAGCCTATCTTTAAATGCTTTGCATCTGCTCCAAAATTCCAGCTGACAGTTGAATCAAAGCTCTTACAAGTACATTTTCCCCTGCCTGCTGCCAGCTCTGATTGCTGCTGTGTCCTCGTCTCATGCTGTCGTGAGCTAAGAGTTTTGTAGGAAAAACCCACTTTCAGCACAATTTCCTGCCTCTGATGACCAGCCTGGTGCAAATCTCTTTGGAATAATAAGGGGAACCAAAACAGAGTTGGGAGAGAGCTGGTGTGATGGAGCAAACACACAGACCCCTCGTGCTGATGGGGTCTGTTCAGTGTCCTTCGAGATTCAGTGTCCTTCGAAAAAATGTGATGCTGAGTGTAAGAATGGATTTTTTCCTGTTGGGTTTTTTTTCCTGAAATGTGTAAAACATCAACTGAAAATGCCCAAAGGACAATCTCTGGAATATTGTTAACATTGCTGTAGAATTGCAACAGTGTCCTGCAGGTCAGGTACAGTCAATGAAATCAGCTGGAGACCAGGGACAGTGTCCTTGTCTGACCAGCTGTGAGATTGGCTATGGAGGAGGGAATAACCTGAGGGTGAAGGAGAAACCTGAAAGTGCTTCTACCAAGTTAAAATCCTACAGGGAATGTGCAACCTCCTGCTTCCAGTCCTTCCTGCTTGCTTCCCACCTCTCAGGGTGTGCAACTGGAGCTGCACTAGCATCAGCTTCAGCCTCAGGCTGCAGAAATCTCACCTGGAGGGATTCAGCTGTGGCATTAATGTTCTGCAAAGGTTATTTAAGAAATGGTTAACCACTGCCAGGAGCTACAGAGAATGAAACATCCCATGAACCATCACCCTGATACCTCCTGTTCCTTGGAACATGTGAGGAAATGTAATTTACACTGTAAAAAAGCCATTGCTATCTGATGTATTATATGATGTACATATATATAGATGTAGAATCCTGGAATAGTTTGGGTTGGAAGGGCCTTAAAGATCATCCAGTTCCACTCCCTGCC